GTTCCGAATTTCACCTATAATTGGCTGGCTTTGATTTTTCCCCTATGTTTCTATCCTTTATACCAAATGTATCAACTAAAGAATATAACTAGAAAAGAAACAAGAGATAAAAACAAAGCCGAGGACACCACCATCCATGCAAACTGTCTGCAATCCATGCCCAACCAAGCTGGGATGAGGAGGCATTTGTTGCAACACAATGCCTTCTAATGTGAGTGGAAATACAAAATAGAGCAAGTAGACTTTATCTACCCAGCATGCTACACCCACGACCACAGCGTTATGGTGTCGACCCATCCCTCCCTATGGACCAAGCAGCGCCACGTCGCTTCACACCATCCACAACCACCGAGTCGCGCCTCGTGGAAGAAATGGGTCATCCTCTTCAGTCAAGAATTTTGCTCAGTTTTGCGGAAACGCGGTTTGATTTGTTTTTGCCACGTGGCGAGCCTATGATCGCGTGAGCCGCGATCTGTTTTATTGTTATCACAAACTTCAAGAGAAATTTAGCTAAGTTCTGTACTCCACTGCCCGCGGGCAAAAACAAAACCCTTATAGGTAAGGCATGTGTTAGGGATGCATCAAGCCTAAACACCTAGAGGCAAGGTGTTTAGGGTTGATGCCTCCCTAACGCATGCCAGGCCCGAATGGGCTTTATTTTTGCCCGCGGGCAGCGCAGTACAAAACTTAACTAAAATTCTCTTGAAGTTTGTGATAACAATAAAACAGATCGCGGTTCACGCGATCGAAGGCATGCCATGTGACGATAATAAAACGAACCGCGACTTTGCAGATTTGAGCAAAACTCTCTCTTCAGTCATTGCTCGTGAGTCGTGTCTCCCCCACCTCCCCCACATCTCATTTCTGTCCAAATGTCCGCTTTTGCTGCTATGATCCTCACTACAACGTGCACTCACACTTCCTTCACCTTGGCAAAACAGTGCCATTCCGAAGTCGTACTGCTAAAACACCCAAGCATGGCGTTCACTGCTTTGCTCCCACTTTCTCAAAGGGTTGCCGTCGACGGGCTTCGCAGTGTCCCTGGAACCGCGGCGCCTCTAACGAGCACGTTTCCTGCATCTCGCAGCGCCAGGTGCGCTTTTCGCGTGAATGGAAAAAATCCACGTAACCTGCACGAAATGTTTGCATCGCTCGCTGAGCACATTGCGGATGTGCTGATAGCGTGACCACATCCCATAAGGTTGAGGGAGCCGGTCAGTCTGGTAGCTCTTGAAATACTTAAAGAATCGCCAATTCGGTCGCATAACCTTACTCGACCACTCTCCATCTCCCTGCTTCGAGACGGAATCTCACAGCGTTCCTTTCTCCCATTATTTTTGTTCCCCCCCAGCGGGATGCTCGCGCTACCCCCGCGCGCGGCGTTTCGCGGAGAGGCGAGCGCAAAGGGAGCGGCGGAAGAGCGAGAACGGTCCGCTACAGCGGCGGGCACAGTGGCGGGCGCAGGAACGGGGGAGGCAGTTGGGTTGAGCCGGCGCGCTTTGCTGATAGGAGGCGGTGTGGTAACAGCCGTTGGACCGTGGTTCGCGGGTGCGTGGTTTCCGGGGTGTGCGGAGTCCGGGGGCTAGCCTGAATAAGTGGCGTTTAGATGAGACATAAAAAAAACGCGTGGGTGGGCCGTGTTTTCCCAGAGGTATGCTGAATAAGTTACTCGCACGAGGAGAAAGATTTCGTAGACAGAATCACACGACGGTTACTGTGGCCGTTCTTCTCTGTACTTACATTCTCCCTGACTTGAACCTCCGTATCTTGTTTCGCCCCTTCTTGTTCATCCCCCTACTTCTCCCCCCTTCATTTAACCCCCATTCCCCTCCCTCATCCCCCTCCACCTTGACTCCCTCCTCCGCCTTCCCCGCGCTCGTCTGTTGGGCCCAGCAGGCGACGTGGCGCGCGCAGCTGACGTGGCACCCCAGAGGTCAGGCTGGATGTGAGGGAGTGTGAGGGAGTGTGAGGGGGGGAGAGCGCAGGGACGAGAGGGAGTTCGGGAGCGAGGGCGTGAGGAGCGATAGGGGGTGTGGGTGTGGGGGAGTAAGAGAGGCCGCTGTGCGGATGGGAAGGGCACAAGGATGAATACATTCGGATAGCCCGAGGGCGGAGCCATGCGTCCATGGCACGTGCATTAACCACAAGTCATGCTTGAGTCCTTGCAGCACGAGCATGCTCGCTTGCTGCCGTCCTCTTGTGCTCCTTGCATTTCTTTGCCCTTCCTTGCCTTTCCTTGTCCCCCCAGAAACCTCTTGCTGCATTTTGGCTCCACCATCCACTACCTTCCATCCCTCCCATTCCGCTGCCATCCCATCCCCATCCCCATCCCCATCCCCATCCCATCCCATCCCATCCGCATCTGCATCCCCATCCCTATCCCATCCCATCCCATCCCATCCCATCCCATCCCATCCCATCCCATCTCATTCCATCCCATCGCATCGCATCCCATCCCGTTGCCCCTCTGTGCCCTCCTCTCAGGTACTTCAAGACACCCTCCGGTGCCACAGTCGAAGGTATGCTCTCTTACATCCTTCACATCCCCCGCCTGCCCTCACATCCCCCGCCTGCCCTCACATCCCCCGCCTGCCCTCACATCCCCCGCCTGCCCTCACATCCCCCGCCTGCCCTCACATCCCCCGCCTGCCCTCACATCCCCCACCTGCCCTCACATTCCACACGTACACACTCCCACCCTCACACACCCGCACACACATGTGCTAAAGCCCGACCTTACTCACACCCCTCCTCCCACTCCTCCCCCACTCACCCAGAGGTATACGAGGGGCAGGGCGAGGTGGCAGCAGCAGGAGATGCGGTGACTGTGCACTATGTCTGCCGCAGATCCAATGGCTATTTTGTTGCCAGGTGAGCTGGGTGGCAGATGGGTGGCTGGCTGGGTGTGCTACGTTGTCTTAACCTGCCGGTTTGCGGTGACTTGAGCTCGACTGTGCTGTGATATGCTGCCACCCTTGTTCCTGCTGCTGCTATCCACTCCCACTCTGCACATACATGCATGCTCACCTCACCCACTCCCCTCCCTTCCGGCCCTCCTGCTCCTCCTCCTCGTTCCTCCAGCACCATTGACCCAGTGGGAGGGGATGCAGACCCCATAGACCTGCTGCTAGGCCAAGGGCAGGTGAGGACCATGACCATTTGGTAACGCATTTAGATCGCAAGTGAATTTTGACGGATGGTGTCTTTTGGATCAGACATTCAAGCACACCCTCCTCTCACCTCCCCAACTCTTGTCTCATTCCTCGCGAAGCCTCTCTCCCACACTCTCTCACTCTTCCTCTCTTCCCCCTTCCTCTCTCCTCACTCGGCTCTCTCCCCCTTTGCATCAGGTGATTCAAGGTCTAGAAGAGGCGGTGCAAGGAATGAGAGCAGGCGGTAAGCCCCATCCGTGCCCTTCCATGCACTGCAAACAAATACACTTCCTTGAACTCGTGCCATACGCTCGTGTCGAAGCATTGCAGTGCACACATGCGAGAGCGCCATGCTCTTGCCGGTGCGCTATCCATCCCACTGCATCACTGCATAAATCCATGTGAACCCATGCTCCACACACTCGCACGGATGGCAAGTAGTTTTTGCATGCGGTAAATCACCGCCACGTTTCAAACCCCCTGTTTCGTCTATTCCCTCTGTCTCCCCCATCCCTTATGTCATCTCTGTCTCCGTGACCTAACTTTCTCACCCTCTTCACACCCTTCCATTCCTCTCAGGCAAGCGCAGGGTGCTCGTCCCCCCTGCACTGGGATACATTAGACCAGACATGCAGCCGCAACCCAAGGATGTGAGTGTGTGTGTGCGTTTGTGTGCGCGCTCATCTCTGTGTCTGTGTGTGTGTGTGTGCATGTGTGTGTGAGTATATGTGTGCGTGGGTGCGCACACGCACGTGTGTGTCGGGGGGGGGGGGGGGGGGGGGGGGGGGGGGGGGGGGATTGCGTGCGTGTGCACGTGCACACGCCTCTCTCTGTGCTCGTGCGACTGGATGCCATCGTACCACAGTCTCCATATTGCTTTCTCGCACCTTTTTTGTACCTTTCAAAACCTATCACAGAATCCGTGCCTCCTCCCTTATTCTCACACCAAACTTGCGAAGTCCCTCCCCTTCATCCCATGCTGACTGCCCCCTTCGCTTGCAGTATTTCCGGCAGCGTGCATTGGCAGCTCATGTGAAAGAGCCACTGATATTTGAAGTGCAGCTTATTAAGGTGAAACCTGGGGCCGCTGCTACTGCTGTGTAATATAGAGAAAGGTTCTGCAATTTTTCAAACCTAAAAAGAACAGAAAGCGCGCTTGAGAAATCAACAACTCATCTGCTACAATGGTTGCTACAAGAAGCTGTGTCCATTCTTTCTGACAGAGCAGCTGCGATGACTTGCCTGCATAGAATCAAAGAATGTATATATACCTTGCAATTATGAACAGTCATATACAGCACATGTCTAAATAACTCCAGCCCTTTCATCTCTTCAATTGGCTACTCCTCGCCTTTACACATCACTATTAGGAGCTCCATTACAGGCTGCCCCATTGGTAGCAGCAGGTTGCGCAGCATCAGCACCAAGTGCTCCAGTACACGAGGGCAAAAACCCATGGTACTCCAGGTACTCTATCAGCGTAGCAGCCATGGCTTCTGGTGACTGCATAACACCCCCCTCCTCTGCCACCTCCATCACCACCTCTGCTGCTGTGGGCTCCTCATAGGGGTCATCTATGCCTGCACAGCACATAGGCAGATAAATAGGGATACTGAGTAACAACGCCCAGAAGACGTACTGAAACGTCAAGCAAGTGGTAGTGTAAGGTATGCCAAGGCAGGGAAGGAAGAGGCCAGGGAGAAGAACTTGGGAAGAAGAGTCCTCAGAGAGTGAGATTCAGACACATAGCAGAAACAGCCGAAGTGGTACTCACTGCTACCCTCCCCTGCAGCACAACTCAAACAGTCCTTCCCCATCTCGCACCAGTTGTACTTGCTATAAGCTCACCCGTGAAGCCCTTGATGATGCCAGCTCGGGCCTTCTTGTAGAGTCCCTTGGGATCCCGGTGCTCGCACACAGCCAGGGGTATCTTCATGAACACCTCGATGAACGTCCCTGGGTCCAGCAACGCCCGTGCAGCCGCCCGATCCTTGCTGCCAGGGAACAGAGGGGAAGGAGGGAGGGAGAGAGTAGGGGGAAGGGAGTGCGGGAGGAGAATAGGGGGGGGAAGGGGGGGAACAGGGGGAAGGCAAGGGAGGGAAAAAGGGGTAAGGGAAGGAAGGAAAAGATGGAAAGGGTTGTTAGGATCAGACGGGATGTCTGCGGCGAGGAGTTTGAGCGGATTTACGCGCGTTGCAAGTACTGGACTGGATAGAGAATGCATTGGGAGCGCATGAGAACGGTATACTTCACCTAGATAATCCGGGAGCAAGCACGTGGTCTCTACCTGTAGGGCGAGATGAAGCTGACGATTGTAACCACACCCGAGTCAGCAAATAGCTTTGCCACCTCGGCTACTCGGCGGATGTTCTCCTCTCTATCCGCAGCACTGCACATGGCAATAGGAATGTATCAAAACACTGAATTTCGACCCACCAGCGAAAATCAGAACGAATCCAGCCACAATAAGAGACACATCCCAAATGCGGCCGCAAGATTTGTCTATCCGGCGCCAACTCGGCATGGATAAGCGATGCGAGGTATGCGCGGAACAGCACCTGAATCCGAGGTTCTTATTCAGGCCGTGCCGTATGTTATCTCCGTCCAGCACCACGGCCATGCGGCGCCGCTCCATGAGCGCGTGCTCGAGAGTGTACGCCAACGTGCTCTTGCCCGCGCCGCTCAGCCCTGTCATCCAAATCACGCACCCGCGCTGCCCTAGCAACCGTTCCCTGCACGCGTTTGGGCAGTATGTCAGCACGGGGAAATCCGAATCGGTGTAAGAGACAGAAACGACCCGATAAGAGATAGGCTGTTGACGTAAACGCACGCTGTGGGACGTACCGCTCCTCCTTGCCGACTTTCGTCTCGTGCCACTTGATATTCGTAGAGCTGCCGACCGTGTACACTTGAGGCGGTTCGCCTGCTGCCGCCATCGTTACTTCCGAACCGTCTCCAGCAGGAGGCGCCATTGTCACGTCCAACAGGTCTTGATCGGGCGACAGCGTCACGATGCTGCGCGTTCTAAACGATAGCGACGAGTTGAACGAACGTCGTGCGGAGTCTTCAGACAACACGCTCACGACGGAAAGACGACATGATCCTAAGCGCGGAGCCTTCCTAGCTCGCAAAGAAAACGTCCCGAATGGGCCTTGAAGCGGTCCGGAATTCGCCTTCAGACCAGTGACAGCAAGGAAATAAGCTGGTGAGCGCGTACAAGGTATTTTACTTGCCTGATTTTCCCTCAGAGATGCTCCTGCAAATTCTGGGATTGCACAGCAGCTCAACCTTGGGAGCTGCTGGAGGGTTGCATGACACGAAAACATTGGCGTCGTCTCGGGCAGGTATCGGGGAAAAACCTGGGGCTTTTCAGTGGTGGAGCGGATTGGTCTGTGAATCAACGGCTACGAGGAAAACGACGCTGAGAACAACGGATGGTTGGGAAGGGAAGCCCCAAGATTCTGGCTGCTTTTGGGAACAGCAGGGAGTTTCTTCCTGCCCGCAATTGACAAGGAAAACTGAAGTGTGGGCGTATTCAATTAGAAAACTGTGATGTGGGGTGGAGGCTTTTATGTGTGTGTGGAGTGGAGGGCTTTCCCACAAATGGTGCGCACACAGCAGTGGTGCTGGGGTTGTTGTGATGTGTCATGCGGGAGCGCGAAGGAAAAGCATTCGCGGTCTGGACCTTTCCAGATTCCGAGGACGGTGGGGACATAGCGATTCGTTGGGTCACGGAATGCGCCGGATCGGGACACCAGTTGGGTGTTCCTTGAACCGACCAGCGGCACCCATGAGGACCCCGTCCCATTCCCAAAGCATTCCAAGTTTCTGACAACAAAACCTCCAATACAATCAAATGCATGCTGATTTGTGCTGGTTTCGGGTTCAGGCCATGCCAAGGAAAGCGCCCTTCTGTGGCAGCTGTGGCGTTGTACAGCATATGCCAGTTGAAAGGGTTCACAACCTATTTTACCTAGCTTACTGCAGCCAACCCCAAGAAACCTCATGTAAAAGACTGAACGAAGTATAATAATAAGTGTACAAATCTAGTGTATGATCTAGCAGTGATTTCCGCACACTGCATACAAATACTAATCACCAGCCTTTTTCCCTATTATGAAATTTCACTGCTTTCAATGTCACATCTTCTGTTTTTAGAGTAAGTAGTGGTGGTGACTGCAGCTGGGGTGATGGACTCAGAAGACGAATTACTAAGCTTCGGGCCATTCCTGGGATCCGAGGTAAGGTCATTGAACGTCTCTACGAGTTTACGAGCATTCTTCATCACAATCTCATCCACCATCCACTGATTCGGGACAGAGATGCACATGCACAAACGCACAACAGCACAGAATGACCATCTCATAAATATACACCCAACAAAGCATCCAAGCACACACAAAAAAATATCTTACAAGAGTGCAATTCCACCAATAGAAGTTTGTGCCAAGCACAAGGATGATCATAAACAAGACAGCAAGGCCTTGGATTGAAGAGGATCTCACCTGCATGTGTGCATCAAAGACCGGCTCCGTCTCGTTCATCTTGAGTTGCTGCATGACCTTATGACAGTCGTTGTACCAGTCACTGCCGGGCGCCCAGAGGTGGCGGTAGTCGGAGAGCACGTGGATCTTGTAGAGCGAGGCGAGCGGGGAAAAGAAGCCCGGCGTGCGCTCGTTCGACGCTATGTACACGTGGCGCCCCGGCGCTATGAGCTTGGGGAGGGTCTTGAGAAGGCTGGAGGAAGCAGAAGGTGTTAATGGATGGGTCATGTGGGTGAGAAAGTGGATGAGCTGAAGACTCCACGAGGGTGCTGGTGGTAGTGATATGCTGATTGTGTGTGTGTGTGTGTGTGTGTGTGTGTGTGTGTGGGTGTGTGTGTGTGTGTGAGAGAGAGAGAGAGAGAGATTGAGAGAGAGAGAGAGAGAGCGAGAGAGAGAGAGAGAGAGGACTTAGCACCCAACCCTCTTCCTCTTCCCTCGGCCCTCTTCCTCTGAGCCTATTTAAGGGCCCTTGGTGCCTTCTTCTCCTCATTATTTCGTGTGCTCAGTTTTCCACGGCTCGCGCCGGCGGCCTTCGGCCGCGCGTTTCTGGTGGCAAGACACAAAACGGAGGATCGGCTTATATAGGGCACACACACACACAAAGGCAAGGAGCTGGGCAGGAGCAAGAGGCGCGGCATGCAATTCTACACACGGCGGAGGCCTACATCGTGTACGGCTCCGCCCCCTCCACCTCAAGCATCGAGCGCATGCACGCCGACAACGCAAGAAGGAGATGCGCCGACGACTGGAGCGTGTCCAAGGGGGTCCCGGCTTGAGCAGCCCCTACAATATCCCCCACGTGGCGGGGGAAAGTACGGGCTAAGGGAGCTACCCCGGCGGGCGCGTCCGACACGGGTGCCAACGGCGACTCGAGTGATTCTGCCAAGGTCACGCAGGATCCTCGGGTCCCTGGACCAAAACTGCTCGGAAAGCTCCTCGTGGCCCCACACACCGCCAGCTGCAAGTTCGCCACCACCTCGCACGCCTCCGCCAGATTCAGAACCCGGCACATGGTCAGCATGGGGTCTCTCCCCGCGCGAGTGGGGAGAGGTGCAGTCTGCGCTTCGCGCGGAAACGCCGCCGGCCAGCCAGGAGTCCGGCCAACAGCCAAGCGCGGCGCAGAGAAGCCGGGTACCTGACGGGGGGTGCGGAACTGAGCCCTCCCCTCACGCGCGGGCTGATACTCGCGCAGCGTCGGCGCACGCAGAGGAGCGACCTAGCCTGGGTCCGCGGCGAAGGGGGGACCGTTGGTCACCTCAATATGGACGTGAGTCGGCGCCCCACTCGCCCGGGCCTGCCTCACCACCTCCACGAACGTGTCCGCAGCATGATCGAGGGCTGGATCAGGCTGGTTGCCATTCCCGCCTCGCCCTCCGCCCTTCCGCCAACCCCGCCGTCCCCCGAAACCAGCCGAATGTGGACGCGGGGGGGACTGCTCGTGGCGACCCGAATCCCAGCGACGACCAGGCGACCCCCTCCCCCGCGTCGCCGGAGATCGCCGAGGAGAACGTTGCGCGGGGGATCGCGCTCGCGGTGAGCGCTGGCCTGCCTGACCACGAGGGGATGGGCGGCGAGGGGAGCGAGGAAGTGCAGGAGAACGCTTACCCCCCTCCCCGCGCTGATAGTGCTCGCGACGCTCAGGAGAAGGGCGGCGAGGAGAGGGCGGCTGTTGAGGGTGCCGCAGAGGCGAGCACCCGCGCTCCTGCCGCGGCTAACCGTCCGGGCGGTTCGACACAACACGAGTAGGCGCCCACGAATACTCCGGCGAGGCGGGGCACGCGGCAGGACGATGGGGAAGCGATTGAACCCGCTCGAAGTGGTGCACGGGCCCGCTCGCGGAGGGGTGCGCAGGGAGACGCGGACGAGGCCCGGCACGCGCAGGCTGCGGTAGCGAGCTCTCCGCGGAACCCTCCAGCTCCGGATCCCGTCTCACGGATGGGCCCATCACCCCCGATCTTACCGCAACCGACGCCAGTGCGGCGACGAAGCGAAAACGAGACACCCGCGGCGCCGCAGACAAGGCGCGAGGGAGCTGCTGTGGGACGAGCAACGCGGGGAATCCGCGTAGGACGCGGCAGCCGCCGCGGACGACGAGGCAACGAGAGAGGACGAAGAGGTGGTGGAGCACGAGGTTCGAACAAGCGCCGATCTGGTGCAAGCGGCTACGCGAGGAATGTGGAAAGGCTGATGCGAAACGGCGCGGAGGGCGACGTGGAACCACTTAGCGAGGAAGCAGAGGAGGAAGCGGAGAATGAGGAAAGTGAAGAGGGGGACCCTCCCTTTAACCCTGAAAGCGAGGGGATGTTAGAAGCAGAGGCCGAGGAGGACGAGGAAGAGTTGGAGCTGCTGCGGGAAGCTGAGCTCCCAAACCAGCAGGCCAGAGGTGTACATGCAAACCGAACCTCAGTTCGGAATCGAGCCGCGGGGGGAATTCAAGCAAGGAAGGGAAATCGAGCCGCTCCAGAAGAAAGAATTGACTCTGCAACAGCCAATGAAAATTCCGCAGCCCCGAGTCCAACCCCCCCGATGCTCAAACCTGACGACCTGGCGAAAAACTCTGAGCTATTCGCTCAGGTTGCAGTCTGGGACCTCGACCCGCTGCGTGACAGTCGCCAACCTCCTCTCGCTCGCCACCCCCCCAAAGACCTTCGCGGCTCCTTCGCGATCTGTATGTTGACGCCGTTACTCCACCTGGCGGCCAATCCCAAGTCTGCGCCAGGATGGAAAAAAATAACTTGACCTTTTACCCGCGCATACTCCTTCGCACCTCGTCAGCCCGTAAACCTGACTGGAGCGCGATGATGAATCGGCTCATGCAATTTCGCCAAGGGCTCTAGGCGGACCTATACGAAGAAGCTGTCCAGGCGATTTCCTTGCCTCCGCAGCCTCGCCACTCACTCGACACAACTGGAATACTGGCACGGGCGGAAGGTGGCAAAACGGGGTAACCTGTCAAAATAACTCCAATCCCTCCAGGCCACCCCTGTGTCACCTGCCTCACCTGAAGTGCTGGAAGCCCTCGCGACGAGACATCCACCTGCCAGCCAGCTTCTCCCTGACTGGCTCCACACCACCTCGGCTGAAGACCCACCCACTATCCAAGCCCGCGACTTCAGGCGCCTCCTCGCCAAGCTCCCCAGCGAAGTCGGGGCCGGCCCCTCAGGAACCACTTTCGAGCATATCCGCGACGCAGCCCTAGGGAATGCCGAAGTACTCTCCCACCTCCTCGCCCTCTCCAACACAGCTCTAGCAGGGAAACTCCCAACAGCCGCGGGGGATCTTCTCACAGCCTCTTGCCTGCTAGCCTTTACGAAACCCCAAGGAGGGATGCGGCCAATAGCGGTGGGGGAGTGTCTCCTCCGGATTATAGCAAAGGCCGCCCTCTTCCTGACCGCGCCAGCCGCCCGTACTCACTTTGCCACCCTTCAATTCGGCGTGGCAGTAGCAGGGGGGATCGAAGCGGCTATCCACACCGCTCGCACGTACCTGGAAGTGCACCCTGCTGCAGTGGCCTTGCAGACCGACCTCGCGAACGCTTTTAACGCGGTCGAAAGGAGAGCGGTGTTCGAAGGACTGAGAAACGAGGCGCTGAAGAAGCTGATCCCCCTCGTCCGCCTATCCTACGGGGCTCCCTCCTCGCTCTAACTCGACCACGACTTTGGCGCAGTTCCACTGCAGAGCGCCAGAGGAGTTCGCCAAGGGGACCCGCTCGGCCCCCTCCTGTTCGCGGCAAGCATCCACCCGTGCCTCATTGCCACGGCGGCGGCACACCCTCAAGTGGTCCTGCTGGCGTACGCCGATGACATCACGCTGCTCGGCGACGCCTCGGCCTGCACAGCAGCTTTCGACCACCTCACATCCGCACTTGCCGCCCTCGGCCTGGTACACATCCCGGCCAAATGCGCGGCGTGGTCCGCCGCTCCAATCGACCCCTCTGCAGTGCCCCCGGGAATTACTATCTCTGATGAGGGACTGCAGATTCTCGGCAGCCCGGTTGGCACACCCCGAGGGTGCGCGGGCGCCGTGAGAGAGAGACTGGCAGTAGCAGCATCCCCACTCCCCCTGCTGGCCCAGATGGACCCCCAGCTTAGCCTCCTCCTCCTCACCCGCTGTGTCAGCCGCCGAGCCTCTTTTCTAGCCAGAACCACCCCCCTGGAAGCTCTCCCTGAAGCGGAATGGTCAGCTTGGGGGGAGCAGCTCCTACACACCTTCCTGGGCTCGGCCCACATCATGAGACCGAGGAGTGCCCGGGAGAGGCGGAGGATTTGGCGGCAGGCGGCCCTGCCCGTGACTCTGGGAGGCCTGGGCATCACTGACCCCGCCGTTGAAGGCAGCTACGCTTACCTCGCTTCAGTGATCAGCGCCGCCCACCTTCTATACTCCTTGGAGGAGTCGTTACACCCTGCTGTCGCCGCGCTCCTCCCCCTACTGGACCCTACCCACGGCTCCCCGCACGTGCTGCCTGCACGCCTCGCCGCGGCTGAGGCAGCTCTCCCACCCGAGGCTCTCGAGGTGCTCCAGGCCGGGAAGATAGACCCCAAGGGACTGAAGCTACAGCAGAGCCTAGCGCTGGCGGTTCACTCCCGCCGCTTCTTGAGGGCCATGCGCGAGGCAAGGCGGATGCGCCCCAACCCCCATTCAGGCCATGCGCAACGGATGCAGTCGGTGCTAGGCCCAGGAGCGGGGGATTGGCTGCTGGCGATCCCGCTCATCCCCTCGCTCCGAATGGGCCCCTCCCAGCTCTCAACTGCAGCTGCCTTCCGCCTAGGCCTCCCCCTCCCAGTGCCTAGACGCTGTGACTGCCGCTACCGCACCACCTTCCCCGACGACCGCCTCCCCAACCACCTCATGCGCTGCGAGAAGGGGAAAGGGAGGACCGCTACCCATCACGCTCTTCGGGTTGAGATAGCAAATATCGGGGCTGAGGCGGGTTTTACGGTTCATAAGGAGACGTATGTCTACTCACTGGTTGAAAACCTAAAGGCGGATGTCACCATCCGTCATCCACTGATCGGGGAGGTTTGGATGTGCGACGTGACCATGACGGACCCGATGTCATACCAGGACGAGAACTGCAACCGAGCTCCTGGTTGGGCAGCTAGGGCGGCAGCGGCAAAAAAGGAGAAGTACGCACGGCGGAACACGTGGGCGGGGTTCCACGCGCTCGCAGTGGAAACATACGGCTACCCCTCGCCGGGGGTGCTGGCTTACCTGCGGCAATGCGCGGAGCTGGCGGCAAAGTTGCGGTTTAACGCAGCCCCTACCTCCTGCGAAGCTTCTGACGGAGTACCGCCCTAGCGGGCACAGGCCAACGCCCTCCGCACCAAGACCAATGAGGCCTTGGCGGCGGACGAGCTCGGTTTTAGAGGACCCATCATCCCTCTCAGTGAGGGACAGCTGCACCAGTTGATTGAGGCTCCGTTCGACCAGTAGGGTCGGACAGGGGGGGGGCAGAGTAGGTAGGGGACTTGGAATAGTTAGGATGCCGGTTTTCTGTTGAGCTTGTGCTTGTGTGTTTTGCACCTTCCGTTGTACCACCCCCCAAAGAAATGCAAGGACCATTCGAGAGAGAGAGAGAGAGAGAGAGAGAGAGAGAGAGAGAGAGAGAGAGAGAGAGAGAGAGAGAGAGAGAGAGAGAGAGAGAGAGAGAGAGAGAGAAAGAGAAGGGGAAGGGGGGAGAGAGAGAGAAAGAGAAGGGGAAGGGGGGAGAGAGAGAGAAATAACTGGAAGCCATGTTGCCATGCTTACGCGTCAGGTCGAGTGTCTCGGTCCAGATTTGGCCAGAACTCTCGGTTCTCATCAGCCACCTTGTCGCCTCGCCTCACATGCACCGCCACGTAGTACCATCCCATGGACGCTGAAATTTGATTCGCCACGCGAACCAGCGACTGCGATCGCCTCAGCAACTTGTAATTCCGCCCCAGCCGCTTCTGTCGCCGTTACGAGTGGGGGAACAGCGCGTAAGACGGGCAGCAGAGCAGCGGCATGAGGGGAGAGGGAGGTGGATGAGGGGAGAGGGAGGTGGATGAGGGGAGAGGGAGGTGGATGAGGGGAGAGGGAGGAGGATGCGGGGAGAGGGAGGTGGATGCGGAGAGAGGGATGAGGAATGGGGAAGAGGGGAATGCGGGTGGAGAAGCGGGAAGGAGACACGACACAGGATGAAAAATGGGCCGCACATGGCTGGGGGAGAGAACGAGATGGCCCAGTAGAAAGAAGAAAAGGCATTTTACGACGATACGCGAAAGCGATGCAGCAGACGAGCTGCAAGCTAGAAAATTGCCCCTTTTTTTTCTCTGTTCTCTCAATATGGGGCTATCGACGTGGACCAGCAGTGCAACACTGTGTTCTAACCTGGAATTGGCAAGTGGAGACGAGAGACCTGCGGACACAAGAGCAGCTATGAGGGACAAAGGATTTGGGTTGATGAAGCGCTGCTCCTTTCCAGCAGCTTCTTGCACTGCTTTCGTCAACCAGCCGCCCTGGGGGCTCGAGCTCGCCCTCGTGACCTTTAAGACGTCTCAATATAATTGTGGCCTGTTTTTCTTGGCTCCTATGCTCCACGTTACTGCCTCCTCCTTCGAGACATGACTCACCTGATTCTCCTCCTGCTGGCAGATTTGGTACGCGTACTCATCGTCCCGCAACCGCCGAACCAACAGCGTCGCCCGAGCCGCCTCCTTCGCCACGCGATTCGTGCTGTTCCACGGCCCGTATTCTGCCACCGACACGCCCTTCTTCTTGAGAAACCGCGGCCATATTTCTCCGAAGCGCTCCTTGAATTCTGTATCGAAGATAAGCGGTTGGTGCTTGAGCCAGTCGTCCGTTCTGTAGTACAGCTGCATTGGCCGCTCCTCGCGCTCTCCGCTCATGGAATGGTATTTGCTCGTGCAGTACATTGTAGGCACTACCATAGTGCGTTTTAAGTACTTCGCTTCAGCCGCAGCGCATAGGAAACTCCATCTCCAGTGCGACTCGCCAGCACATGAGTCCGTGTCGCGTGCGCCAACTACCATGTAATACCGCTCCGCCGTCGCCGCCGCTGTTCGAGCCGCTGGACCAGCTGTCGCCTGCGACGGCACTGGTCGTCGCACGTGTGCGATCCGGTCGTGAGCCTGTCGTTGTCCGGTTGCGGGTTGAGCCAAACGCACTGGTATCACGCGATCATCGGACGAAAGCTCGTCAACTAGAGGAATTGACTTGCTAACCGCATCAGGCGCATCCGCTGAATTGTAAGCACTTGTCCTTCGCAAGTCCTCATTTCGGCCCACCTCGGCTTCCGTTAGCAGCCCGTCGCGGTGTCCTATCGCAATGTTTTTTTCGATAGTCAGTCGCTCGGGGTCGAAGACTAAGCGACGATCGTGCGACCACGGCGATCCTTTGGAACTATGTGCGACCATGTGAGCAGCGAGGCACATCCCGAGCAAAACCGCTGCGACGAAACAGAAAGAGCGTGTCCTAAGGCCTGGCCACGTGCCTCCTCCCTCGTTATAAATCCATAGCCCACCCGTTGCTGCTGAAAGTACGCTTCCTCGAGCTGCTCTCCAGCCGCCATTTATTCCCGTTATGGCGGTCGCGTTAAACTGGTCTGATAGACGTAGAGGTGGGTTGGACGAGTTCTTATTCCGAGAGGGCGTTCTAACGGGGGACCCTAGCGCTTTTACCGCCATCGAGCAGTTGTAGCCGCAGGGGGTTAGCTATCGCTGATCATCGATAATACGGCACCCTAGCGTAGCAATACCAGAGAGGAAAGATCGAACAACCGAGGGAGAAGAGAAGATACTTTCAGTTAGACAAACCCGGGTGCATCGGAGACTATGCGAACCAACTAACCCTAGAATGGCCGCTGCCACCCTGTACTAATGACAGGGCGTTTACTTCAATGAGGTAACGCAAGACGCCAAGGAAATGGAACAATCACGCCCCCTCATCTGTGCAACAAGGATGGTTGGGTGGAAACGAAATTGTTGACCCAACAGAACTGAAGGTACACACACACTCAGTTGGATGTGGAAACATCTACATCAGTTGGTATGGACGGTAATCGCTTTGCACCGCACAGTAAAATACTGATTCCCAATGTTACTCAAATTTACCGTGCACAAGACTGGGACTTGGGGAGCGTCAGCAAGGGGGAGTGGGGTGGGGGGCAGAGCCTACGGAGGAGCACTGTTGGGATCGTCGAGTCGGGTAGGGGAGGTTTGTGGAAATGGCGGCGCGTGCCTCCCGCCATCGAGGTCAACAACTTCCAGAACACGCGATTCGACACTCATCCTGCAAAGCAGTTCGGCCATGGAGATCGTGGGTGTCGTGAGTCGTTCGTGACGTGACGTGTTACGCTGGGGTGCTTTGACTGGGATGGGACAACAACTATTTGGCTTGGCAGTCGGTACGTTCTTTTGATCGAGAGAGAGATCAATTCCCTAAAGTTAGGGCGTATCTGCCTGACATGTTCCAGCACCCTGATTCAAAAACATACTGGTGGTGCAATTGTCACCAATTAACGAGCAAGTTACTCTCAAAGTGACATACCTCGCATTCGAAATTTACGATTGCTTGCGAGTTTGCGAGAGCAGTGTGAGGGAGTGAAGAAAATATTTCGCGATGCTTTTTAAACAACAAGTTTAAGTGTGCGAAACTAGAGCGAACGCGCCCTTGCCAAGACTGACGGACGATCTGATTAGGAAAGTCACACGCACGTTCAAGACCAGTCCAGTAATGGTTGAAGAAAAGGGTTACCACGTGTAACCGCCAAAAGTGTTGGGATGGAACCAGCCCTTTATATACATTAAATAGGAATTACAGTTTCCACACCATGCCTTGGGTCATCCGTAAGGTCATTGAAAGTTTCCACTCGCTTTTTGGCATCACCAAACACCATATCTTCAACAATGTACTGCACATACACACACACAAAAAAAATCACGTGAAGTGAAGTGTTAATGCGGGGAAAAAAAACACACACGCACATGCACACACACAAACAACAAACAACAAACGAAAACAGTTGTTATTGCTACCATCACTTACCTGCATGTGTGTGTCAAAGACCGGCTCTGTCTCGTCCATCTTGAGTTGCTGCATGAGCTCGCGGCAGTTGTTGTACCAGTCGCTCCCCGGTGCCCAGAGGTGGCGGTAGTCGGAGAGCACGTGGATCTTGTAGAGCGAGGCGAGAGGGCTGAAGAAGCCCGGTGTGCGCTCGTTCGACGCTATGTACACGTGGCGCCCCGGCTTTATGAACTTCGGAAGCTTTTTCAACAAGCTGGTTGGTGGGAGGAGGATAGGGAGCAGGAGCGGAACGAGGCTCTCAGAAGGTGGGCAGCTGGGTAATAAAGACCTGCAGGAACTTTGTAATGAATCAAGAAAAACGGCCAGGACTCAAGGGTCCCCTTCAGTTCGAGCTTGGAGGACTCAAGTGAACAGGAGCTTATACAACGTGAAAGGTCGGAAAACGTCAGGCGTTGGGAGAAACCAATTGCCACAGAGTTAACAAGAGCATGCAATAGTGTAAAGAACTTATCACTGATTTGTAACGGAGGGACCACGGGAAAGGACGTGGAATTGGAATCTAAAGAGATGGATTGCACGCGGAAATAGCATGGGCAGGAGGATCAGTGTGCAGTGAAGAGATTCAATTGCAAGCACTGTTCACCTCAGCTTAGTAAGTCACGTGACTGCTACCCCCAGTTGCCTAGCAACAGCACTGGGTGAACCACTTCAAACCACCCCTCCCCTCGCCCCCTCACCCCTCAACAGCCCTTCCCCTAGCCCCCCTGCCCCCCCTCTTCCCCTCCAAACAGCCCTTCTCTCGCCCCTCTCTCCTGCCCACGCAACACAAGCCTTAACCTCCCGCCCACTCACGCGGGCGGCCGTGTGTCGCGGTCAAGGTGCGGCCACAAGGTGGGGTTGAGCTTGTCCCCGCGGCGCACGTGCACGGCATCAAAGTTCCACCCCATGGACGCACACACCTTGTTCGCCACCTTGCGCAGCATGATCTGCCGCGCGATCAGCTTGTAGTTGCGCACCAGATGGGCCTGTTGGGGTGGGTGGGAGGCGAGGGAGGAGAAGAAGGAGGCGAGAGTGGGGGAGGAAGGGAGTGGAGGAAGATGCAGGGAGAGCGAGAAGGGAGCTACCCACCTTGCGCAGCATGCGCTGCCGCACGATCAGCTTGTAGGTGCGCACCACACGGGCTTATTGGGGTGTGGGCAAGGCGGGGTGGGGGAGGTGGGAGAGGCGGCAGGGAGCGTGAAGACACAGAGAGTGCGAAGAGGGGAGTTTGACCCGTTGCGCAGCATGGGATGGCAGAAGATTAGCTTGTAATTGCGCACCACACGGGCCTACAGGGGGTTGAGGGAGGGAGTGGGTAGAGCAAATCGGGGGTGGGGCAGTGGGCAGAAGGGAGTGAGGAAGGTAGGTTTACAGCGTGTGGGTACAGGAGCTATGGAGGTGAAGAGGAGTGAAGCACAGTAGGAGAATGAGGTGAGACCAAGAGATCGCCCGCCTCCCAGCTTCCCCTGCCTTCCCCCCGATTCTGCGCCCTGCCCCCTGCCCCCGGTCCCTGGCCCCCTGCCCCTTGCCCCCTGCTCCCGCCCCCCTGCCCCTGCAACCCACCCCCACCATGCCCTGTCGCCCATTCCCCTCAGCACTGCACAACGACAACCCTTGATCCGCTGAAGAGAACCCTTGAGCAGATTTCACATGCAAACTGACCAACCATGGAGAGAAGATTCAACGCGCAAGCTAGCAAGCAAGCACTGACCATGTTATATGGGACCTGCGAGGAGCAGAGCTCGTATGCAAACTGGTGAGGCTCCAACAGACGCACCAACACCGTTGCATTGGCACTCTCGCGATGCACCCGACTGACAGGAGTGAAGAGACCAAACTGCACCACTGATACGTTACCCGCTGCTGCCCCACCCTCCCTCGCCACCGTTGCGCTCCCATTCTCCTCCTCCTTCTCCTCTTCCTTCTCCCCCTGCTGCTGCTGCTGCTGCTGCTGCTGCTGCTGCTGCTGTTTCATTTGGAGGTAGGTTGACATGCCTAGGAGGCGGAGGAGCGAGGAGAGCTTCTGTTTTTCCGCAGCAGTGGTGGCCAGAGGGGCCCCCAAGCGGTGCAGGAAGTCCGAGGCGAAGATGATGGGCTGGATGCTGCATGGACGCGTGGATAGAGGGTGGAGTGGGGAGGAGAGGAGGGAAGAGAGGAGCGAGGTAAGCTTCTGTTTGTCCGCAGCTGTGGTGGCCAGGGGGCCTCCAACCGGTGGAGGAAGTCCGAGGCGAAGATGATGGGCTGGATGCTGCACGCCCGCATGGTGGTGCAGTGGGGGAGGAGAGGCGGGATGACGGGCGGAATAGGCGGGAGGAGGGGCGGGAGGAGGGGCGGGAGGAGAGGAGGGAGGAGAGGTGGGAAGAGAGGAGGGAGGAGAGGAGGAAGTAGAGGAGGGAGGAGAGGTGGGAGGAGAGGAGGGAGTAGAGGAGGGAGGAGAGGTGGGAGGAGAGGTGGGAGGAGAGGCGGGAGGAGAGGCGGGAGGAGAGGTGGGAGGAGAGGCGGGAGGAGAGGAGGGGAGGAGAGGCGGGAGGAAAGGCGGGGAGGAGAGGCGGGGAGGAGAAGGGATGGTAGGAGACGGGAGGGAGGAGGGGGTAGGGAGGGGAGGCGGGAAGGAGAAGGAAGGTATTGAAAAGAGTGTGGGAAGGAAGGCAGGGATATAACGGAACAAAGCAAGAATGTTAGGGCAAAAACGCACAGGTACACACACGCACACACACACACAATCCCCTCGCTCCACAACCCCCTCCCTTCCTCCCTCCCCCCCTCCTCCCTCCCCTTCCCCAGACCTCAATCACCTCTCCCAGTGCCCACGCTCGCCCAGCGCCCCTCCCTCCCCCCCCTCTCCCCCGTCACTCTCACTGCGCCCCACACTCACCTCGGCCAGTGCTCCGTGTGATAGTACAGCTGAAACGGCCGCTCCTCGTCCTGCCCAGTCCCGCTGTGCCTTTGCCCTGAGCACCACGTGTCCGGCACCACAAACACACGCCCTAGCGCCTGTGCCTCCGCAGCAGCGCACAGAAAGCTCCACACCCAGTGGGACTCGCCTGCACAGTGGTCGTTCATGCCCTCCACCAGATAATACCTCCCCGAGTCCACTCCACTGGGGCTTCCCGTTCCGTCTCCGTTTCCGTTTGCGTTTTCGTTGCTGTTCCCTGCTGCTGCTCTTGTTGTTGTTGGTGGTAGTGGCGGGGGTGTGTGGACGATCCTTTTCCTTCCTTGCTTCCGCTTGCCCTGCCGTTTCCCCTGTTTCCACTTTCCGTGCCGTTTCCCCTTTCCATGCCGTTTCCCCTGCTTGCCATGCCGCTTCACCTGCGTTTTCCCCAACGCCTTTTGACTCTGCTGCTCCTGACTGCTGTCACCACCACCAGCGCCATCACCAGCGCCAACCCCCTTGCCCTCTCCAACGACCTCCTTTGCTGCTACGCTTCTTTCGCCTCCGCCTCCTCCTTCGCTGCTCCTTCCCTCGCCCCCTTCCCCGCCCTTCAGCTCTTCTATCTCTCCTCCTTCCCCTGTACCCGAATCCGCTAAGCCCCCCCTTTCCGCCAGAACCTCCCCCCTACCCCCTTGCGCACTCCCGCCTACCTCCCCATCCCCCACAGCAGCCACTGCGGTACCCGCTATAACCTGCTCCGGCAAAGGCTTTTGTCCGAAATACCCCATGCTGATGAGTGTAGTTTGAGTCAGGAAGACGGCGAGGAGGACGAATAGCAGCACGCGGCACAGCGGCGCGGCAACACCAACTAAGGACAGCCCACTCCGCACGCTGCTGGTCCTAGTAGGTGTGGCTGTAATGATTGCGGTGCTGGTGGTGTTCGTGAGGATAGTGGTGCGCACAGAAGTCGCGACGCCATTGCCGCCGCCGCCGCCACCGCCGCCGCCGCCGCCATTGCCATCATCGATCTGAATCTCGCCCCGTTTGCTGCCGCCGCCTCTGGAAACGACTCCTCCCGGGTTACCGGTACTCGCTTCGGAGCTTCTCGTTCGCTCTAGATTCGCGCCGCTGCTACCCGCGGTCCGCGCGACCTCCTCCGCAGCCATTAGCCCATGAGCGTCCTTCCTTCCGCCCTAGATTTACGTCGCATACAATTCTTTCCGGCTCGTCAGACCGTACCTTTCGCCATGATCTCCGCAGGTTAGCGCCCTTTCCCCTGATTACGGCCTGCTTTCCCCCGACCCGCTCCCGCGGAAAAAAATCGCGTGAGCTGGCTGGGAAAGCGGAAGGCGAGGCGGCGGGACGATGCGAGCGCCGATTGCCAGCTGGACGGGTTTTGAGTCGACTCAAACCTCTGAAGAACAAGGAGTTTTATGTCAGAAGAACGATGGCAGTGCCAAGAGCCAACGGGACTTTTCGGCAGTCTGTTGGTGGGACAGAGAATGAGAACCGTCACGCCGCGACAACCTGCCACAGCGTACGCGACATCGCTGCTACAAGGTACGACCGTGGTGTCAATTTCCACACACAATGCGAGAGCTCGGATCTTGAGCCTTGGGGCTCAAGCGTTTTTTTTGCCTTGGGCGTATAGTGGATTCAGATCTCTTTTCCTGTCGTCGTTAGCATCTCGCGTCTTTAACCCTGTCTGTCGAACGCGCACACTACGCACTGTGGTCTGCTGCAACTAGATGCGAATGCTGTATTTGGGTAGTTATGTGCAGGGAATCGGAGGAATCTCGAGAATGCCGACGGCCTGGTAGATTTGAGGGAAAAGATCATATTGGGGCCGAACAGTGCCAGAGGGGTGTTCGAAGTAGGGCCGGTAGATCTCGACGGTAGGATCTCAACCCGGAGCTGACCAAACGACTCGGCGAACAAGCCGAACCATGAGTAAAAGAAAATTGCTAAAACGAGTTCATTGTTTCTTTTTAGGGTTCTGACCGCCGTCTACTACAACGCGCGCGTCGCCTTCTTCTGGAATTAATATTCGGGGTGTGAAATCGTGAGTACGTAACAACATAATATATTCTAGGTGATACATATCACCTACCCGATCGGAAATGCACAAGAAAAAAATATATTACCCATTCGGAAACGGATGCGACTCGGGAGGCATCAACCCTAAATATCAGGGAGGGCCCCTTATTTAGGGCTGATCCATCCCGAAATTATATCCAGGCTCCCTATGAGTTTTAGTTTTTTCTGGCTGCCCTAGAGTTCCTGGTAGAGTCGGCTCGCTAAACGACACGCGAGCGAAAATGCGAGCCGGTACATGCCACTAGTAGCATAAATACGTGCAATAAACAAAGACCTCCTGTTAATCCCTCGTCGCGCAGTGGTTTGGTAAGTTTCGGGCCTCTCGGCCCCTGGTCGATCACCTCTCTGGCACTGTTCGGCCACTGTATGATCTTTTCCCTAGATTTGAAACCTCGGACGAGGGGCGGAGCAGACTTAGATCCGCACTCTTTACAATGTTATGAGTGCACGAAGGCAGCCAGGGTTGAGAAAACGAAGTCAATGAAACAGCCAAACTAGAACATGAGCAACAAATGTTGTATATTAGGAATAATACATATGCGTTATGAAAATTGTCAGGTAATGTATAAATCAATGAACCTCGTCGCATAAATAACAAAAGGAATGAATAGATGGTTATGTAGAGAACATTACCATTTTTGACAGACCATATACGAAGTGGTTGAAATTAGCACGGCCTTTCGGACTAGTCACCGAGCCTTGTAATAGTGTGGATTCCGCAGATTTGGAGATTGGGGACTTGGGAGGATACATGTGATGGTGCATCCGTCAGCAGTGTACCGCAGTAACGCAGGCAGCATTCATTGTGGGGGGACGATGCTGCGAATAACGGAATCAGAGAAACCTTGAGATTTGCTCAACGGCTTTATCGCTCCGCCCACCAGCAGCACCGACTGAACGCCTCTGAAGCATTTCGTTCAATTCGATCTCTGCGCGTACGTTCCCGCTCTCACCGCTCTAGAAGATCTGCGTCAGCAGCCCAAGTGCAGAAAGTATCGGGATATCATCCCCGTGTTGTTTTCTTCCCCCAGGTTTCCGTTTCGTTTCGACGGACCATCAATCAGCTCCTTTGGCAGGTAAAGGCCATGAGCTCGGATTCGTCGTTTGCGCGGCACGGAAGCGCCGCCAGCTTAAACAGCAGTGACAATAGTGAAAGTTCCAGTAGCCGGAGCAGCGGCGGGGTGGCGATTGGATGTTTTGGCGGAGGCGGAGGCGGAGGCGGAGGCAGGGCAGGGGGTGGGGGGAGTATCAGCGGTAGTATACACAACAGGGGCGCGGAAGGGGACGGAAGCCCTCACAACGGTAACGGGAGCAGCTATATCGGGGACATAGCTGTAGATAGCGATGCGGGCTTGGCGGAAGGAGGGGCGAAGTCGGAGCACAGCGCGCGGAGCGGCGATGGCGTGCGCGAGAAGCGGGGTAGCACGAGGAGTTTAGCGCGGGGGGCGTTCTCGTCTCATTCCGCAAAGATGCTTCTATGCGGGTTCGCCCCTTCTCATCTAAAAGGGGAGAGCGACGACGACGATGAGGAGGAGGAGGCGAAGGACGCTAAGAACGAGGAGGGGGGCGGCAGGAACGAGGAGGGCGAAGTAGGAGGAGGAGGAGGAACGACAGCTGAAGGGGAAGAAAAGGAAGGGGAGTCAGACGAGAGGAAGGAGGAGAAAGTGAGGAATCTTAGGACAGACGAGGATCTGAATCTGCGCATTCCCCGCAGTTTATCCCCATCGGTCTGCATCTCCGGTATTCCCGATGCCAGCGGTAGGCGGAGGAGCAGCGACAGTCCGAACCGCGGAGCACGCCTCAGCAGCCAAGGAGACGACTCCGCGTGTGATTCTAGCGAGGCTGGCAGCGCGGGGAGGTCCGGCAGGTGGGGAGGGGCCTCGTTAGTGGCACCACGGACTCTCAGCAGAGTGCTGTCGTTAGGAGGCTCGCGAGCGAAAGCCCAGCTTAAAGACGTATACCAGAACTTCAGTAAGGCGTCAGGTAGGGGGGAGCAGGCGGGACATGAGGGGCAGGGGGGGCAGGGGGAGCGGGGGGAGCAGCAGGGGGAGCGGGAGGAGCGAGAGGGGTTGGTTCAGGCGGGTGCAAGCGCGCAGGAGACGTCTGGTCGCAGCAAATCTAGCAGCAGTCGCGGTCGCAGGCACAGCCGACGTGGCAGCAGCAGCAGCAGCTGCGGCAGCGGCCTCTTTGTGGGTGATAGTAACGAACTCGAGGCTGCTGTTAAGGGGGACATGGTGAATGGGAGTTGTGGCGGCGTGGGCGAGGGGAAGGGAGAGACGAGCAGCAGCGGGGGTTCTGGCGACGGTAGCACCGCGGGCGCTGGCAATAGTCCCCCTCTTCTGGCCTCTAGTCCCCGTCTCACTCCTCCTAGTCCCACTCCTCCCACCCCTGCCGCTGCTCCTTCTCCTCTTGGCCTTAGCCACACTTGCAGCAGAGCCGTTTCAGGTGTATGCGACCTGGCTTGCAGTGCAGGTGCACATGTGCAGTGCGAGAGAGGGCAGGGGGCAGCGGGGTCAGAGCAGGGGGGAGAGAGGGAGGGCAGGGCAGGTGTGTGTGGGGAGGGGGATGGAAAGAGGCTCGGGCAAGAGAGAGAGGAAGAAGCAGGGACAACGGGCTTGGAGGCGGACGGAGTGTTAGCAGGAGCAGCTGAATCGGCAAGAGGAGCTGTAGCAGCAGGAGTAGCTGTATCGACAGGAGAAACTGTAGCAACAGAAGAGGCTGTGTCAGCAGGAGCAGCTGTAGCAAAAGAAACGGCTGAATCAGCAGGAGAGGCTGTAGCAGCAGGCGAAGTTGCAGTAACAGGAAAGGTTGTAGCAGCAGAAGAATCTGTGGCACCTGGAAAAGCTGTAGCAGCAGGCGAAGTTGTAGCAGTGGTAGCAGCAGGAGCAGCAGGAGCTGCAGGAGAATCTGTAGCATCAGGAAGAGCTGAACCGTCAGTAGCAGCTGCAGCAGCAGGAGCAGCTGAGGTAACAGGAGAAGATGTAGCAGCAGGCGAAGTTGCAGCACCAGGAGCAGCTGTAGCACCAGGAGGAGCATCCAGAAACCTGTCGCCAACAGCAGCCACAGCAGCAGCTGTGGTAGAAACGCCCAGGGCAGCAGTATTTAGTGCGGAGGGCGGGGTCGAGAGGGGGTTGGAGGGGATTATGCGAGCACCAGAGGAGAGGAGAGACGAAGGAGAGGAGTATGTGGGGAAGGGCACAGAAGCAGGAGCATTTGGGGAAGAGTTGTCCAGAACAGAGGTAGATGTGGGGAAGGGATTGACTTTGGGCGGTGGTTCTGGTTTGAAGGAAAAGGTGGAGGAAAGTGTTGTGAGGAGTGAGGACGATTCTAGAGCAGGTCATACACGTTTGGAAGGAGGCGGTTCGGAAGGAGGCGGTTCAGGAGGATTCGGTTTGGAAGCAGCTGGTTTGGAAGGAAGCGGTTTGGAAGGATGGGAAGCGAAGGCAGGCGATTTGAATGTTGGTGGTGAGGAAAAAGACGAGGGGAGCAGTTGGGGTGTTGTGCAAGTGGGTGAATCAGTGGATGAGGGAGTGCAAGTGGGGGAGGAGGATAAAGAGAAGGAAAAAGAGAAAGGATTCTTGAATCAAAAGGAGGAGGACGAAGCAAAGGAGGAAGAGAAGGAGGGGAATGAGGAGGAGGAGGAAAAAGAGGAGGAAAACGAAGTGGGGGAAGTAGAGAGGAAGGAGAAAGAGAAGAAGGAAGCAGAGGAGGAAAAAAAGAGGAATGCGAAAGAGGAAGCGGAAATAGAGATGGAAGAGAAAGAGGAGGAAGAGGGCGAGGAAGAGGAGGAGAATGAGGAGGAGGAAGAGGAGGGTGAGGAGAGAGAGGAGGTGATATTGAAAGTGTACGGGAGAGAGCAAGGAAGTGAGGATGGAAGTGATGACGAAAATGAGGAGGAGAGTGAAACAGAAAGTGTGGGAGAGAAGGAGGAGGGAAGAGAGGCAGATGGAGAGACGATAGGAGACGCGGGAGAAGAGGCGGGGCTGCAGGGGGAAACCGAGGAGAAGGAGGAGGAGGACGGGAGTTCCAGAGGAATGGCGAGTGGGGGAGGAGGAGGGGGTGGAGGAGGAGGTGGAGGAGGAGGATCAGGAAGAGGGTGTGAGGGGGAGGAAGAGGCTTTATTGCAGCCAGATCAGGAGAAGCAGGTGCGAGAGGAGGGGAGGAAGAGTAGGAGGAAGAGCAGGCATGGTAAGCATGGAGGCCACAGTAAAGCTGAATCTGAGGAAGATGAGGGAGTTGAAAGGGGTACTGCGAGGGTAGTGAAGGGGGAGCAGGAAGGGGATGGGGTAGGGAGAATGGGGAAGGAGCGGGTGCTTGAAGGAGGGATGGGAGAAGGAGAAGAGAAGCGGAGGAAGAAGAAGGTAGGGGAGAGACGGGCGAGGCACCGAAAGGGAGAAGCAGGGGAGGAAGGGGAAGGGGAAGGGAAAGCGGGAGAGAGGAAGGTAAAGTCACACCGGCGGGAAGCAGCAGGGCATGAGCATGAGCGTAAGCATAAACACAAGCATCAGCATAAGCAAAAGCACGAGCATCCGGAGGAGCACAAGCGTGAGCATGAGGATCAGCAGGAGCAGGAGGCAGCCCAAGGGAGCAAGTGCAACAACAGCAACAACAGCAGCAGCAGCAGCAGCAGAAGCAGCACAAGGAAGGTACCTAAGGTGGAGCGAGCTGTATCCAGTGACAGAAAAACCGCAGGGGTTCGATCTCGCAAGCCTAGCACCGAGAGTGAGAAGGCTAGGAGTGCTGCAGTGGCAGGAGGGGAATCATTGCCGTCAACGCCAGGAGACAAGCCGTCCCTTGCCACGCTGCTTGCCGCCTGCCGCTCCTCCTCCCGCCCCCCCTCCCGCCCTGCCTCTCGGCCTTCCTCCCGCCCGTGCTCCCCTCCCAGAGCAGCAGCAGCAGCGGCACATGGGAGCGACGCTGCTGCCCCTGCTGCTTCTGCTGCTACCACCGGTTCCCAACTCCACAGCATCACCAGCAGCGGCGGCGGCGGCGGCGGTGGCGGTGGCGGTGGCGGCAGTGGTTCATCGAATGCGTTCTCCTTGGGCAGGCGCCTGTCTTCTGACACTGCTTTCTCGGAGCAGCTGCTGCGCGCCATGCAGCAGGCCGATCCCCTTCTTGCTGCTGCACAGGGCAAAGCAGATCGCCGTGTGAGGGCAGAGGGCAAAGGGGGGGCACGTGCGCGGGAAGAGGAGGGTGGGGAGGGACGGGAAGGGCGGAAGAGTGGGGGGCGAGGGAGGGGGCGTGGGAGAGGGAGAGGGGGAGAAGGGGAGGAGGAGGATGGGGAGGAGGAGGAAGAGGAGGGTGGTTCAAGAGGGAGTAGAGAGCACGGAGGTGTGTATAGTAACGAGCAAGGGCGAGGGGGGAGGCAAGAGGAGAAGCAGGGGGACGCTGCAGAGCAGGGTGGGGGAGGCGGTGCTGAGAAACAGGGGCAGCAGGGGCAGCAGGGGCAGCAGGCGGAGGAGGAGGTGTGGGCTGCACTGACCTCCTCTGCCATGTTTGTGAAGGTGATGAGCCTGGAGCGGCGACTGGCACTCAAAGGCTCTACCGCCAACACCAACACCACTGCTGCTGCTGCTATTGCTGCTGCTCGTGGCGGCTACCAGCAGCACTGGCACGGGCAGCAAGGGGTGCAAGGTATGCAAGGGCTGCAGGGGCAGCAGCAGAGGGAGAAGAGTCAGCAGGCGTGGGCAGACGCACCGTCTTCTGCCATGTTTGGTAAAGTTCTTAGCCTAGACCGACGCACCATCATGGCTGGTCTTGGTGCTGGCGCTGCTGCTGGTGGTGGTGCGATGAGGGTCAGGGGAAGGAGCTTCGCGAGAAGCAACGAGGAGGGTTCAGGGCAAGAGGAAGACCACCCCTTTCCTCACCATCCCCACCATCCCCACCATCCCCATCCTCATCCTCATCCCCATCACCATCCCCATCCTCCCTACCGCTCAGTCTCTCCAGCCCCTCACCTGCCCCCTCCGCTTCACCCACCTGCTGCTGGTGCCTCTGTCACCTCCCCTCCTCCTGCTCCCTCTGCCTCTAAACCTGTACCCCGCATCAGCTCATGTCCCACCACCAGCGCACCAACCACCGCTCCATCCGAATCAGCAAGCATGGCTCTCTTTACTCCTGCTAGCATCTCTGCCGCCTCTCCCTCTTCCCCTTCCCCTGCCACCGATCCTGCTGCAGCCCGGCGATCGCTAGGCTCTCGCGTCGTTGCACAGACTCTCTCCTTTGCTGATGCTTGCACCACCCCTCCATCCTTGTCCCCTCCCTCTGCCGCTGCCTCCGCCGCCGCTGCTGCTCCTGCTACTACTGTTTCGTCTGCTCGCCCGCCGATTGCCTCCTTCCCTTCCTCTCGCTCTGTGAGTGGTGCCTTAGCCTCCTCCTCCTCCCGCCGCCGTCCCGCCACGGCGAGTCATGCAGGGAGCAGGGGAGACAGGAGCACTTGGAGAAACAGCGGAGGAGCGAGAGGAGGAGGAGGTGGTGGTGGTGGTGGTGGCAGCAGGGGTAGGGACCTTCGGAGAGTGAGTGAGGGGAGGGTGGACAGTGACAGTGACAGTGGAAGTGACAATGGCGCAGGTGCCTATGCAAGAGACGATGATAGCAGTGATGGGTTCTCCTCTGATGGGTTCGACTCCCCTTCCTTCTCCCAACCCGATGGTGCTACCACTGCTGCTGCTGCTGCTGCATCTTCTCTTACCCCCCCTCCTGGTCCCAGTGCGGGGCATGGGAGAAGAAGAGGAGCGGGTGGGGATTCCCGAGGGAGGTATAACGATGCAAGCGCTCGGAGAGCGATTGTGGCACGGGGCGGTAGGGCGTTGTCCAAGCACCGCTCTGCACCCACCCGTACCCTTGATCAAGTCGAGGTTGGGGGGAGGGAGGGCCGGGAGAGAGGAGGAGTGGGTGGGAGAGGGGAGAGGGCGGAGAGAGGGCGGAGGGCGGAGGAAGGTGCAAGTGACTTAGAGTTTATGGCAACCCATTGGCCTCTTCCTGTACTGCTGGAGAAAGGTAGCCCTGCGAGGAGACAGAGAGAGGTGGTTGCTGCCCGTGTGGCTGTGGGGGTTCAGCAGAGAAGGAGGTTGGTGCAGCAGATGGGGTGCGAGGGAGAGGAAGAGGGAGGTGAGAAGCACGAGGGGGAGGACGAGAGAGGGAGACAGGGAGAAGGGGAGGAAGGGAAAGGGAAAGAGGTGGAGGAAGAGGGAATGCGGAAGGAAGGCGGGCAGGAGGATGATGTGCGAGAGGGGAGAAGGAAATGGCATGGGATTCAGGTGCAGCGGGATCTTGAGAAAGCAGAGGGAGAGACAGACGAGAAGCAGGAGCAGCAGAGTCGGCAGGAGGTGCAGGGGGGGCAGGGGGAGCAGGGGGGGCAAGGGCAACAAGGGGGGCAGGAAGTGCTAAGGCAGGGAGGGGTATATATTCAGGGGGAGGAGCTGGAGGGGCAGAGGTGGGAGCAGTAGCAGTCTGAATGGGAGAGGAGGATGGTAGGTTCATGAGATGGAGGAGAGGGAGAGGAGAGGGAAGAGGGGAGGGAGGAAAAAATATGGAGGGCGAGACGAGGAAATGAGACGCAGTGGCTATTATGGGAGGAAGAAGCTCCCCCTCTCCCACAGCAACATGTACGGTATTGCATAGTATTTTCCGCCAATACAAATGATTGAATTGTGCAACTTTCTCAATGCAGATTGTTATCATGACTGTACCTTATGAGTATTACACTTGGTTGTCACACAGAACAGAACACCTTCTGGTGACTGATTATTGGATTCGAAAGCATGTGCTGCCTCTGAGTGTCAAGCTCGGAAAACCTGGCATTGCATGTAGGGTTACTCAAGAGAATGACACTACCTTTTTAACAGAGAAACTGGCATACCGGTGGTACCACACTACGTGTACCAAACAAAAGATTAAACATGTCTGTTGGGCTGAGATGAGATGAACAACAAGCATCTGCTCCCCCAGCACTCTGCACCTTCTTCACCTGCCCAAGCACACCTCATAAACCTGCCCGAAACCATCCCGTGAAACCCGCTTCAGCCCCTCAAAATGCAGCCTGGATCCGAGGAAAGTTATACGCAGAGGGGGCACCCAAACAGTGGGACCTTGTGGTTGCATGGCAGATGAGGGCGGAGGAGGCGGGGTGGACAGAGGGATGTTAGTTCCAGAAGGTAAGGCTGCAGTGGCAGGTGCTGGTGCTGCTGCAGCAGCAGCAGGAGGGGCAGTAGCATCAGCAGCAGGAGAAGAAGCAGACGCAGTGGCAGGAGGAGCTTGGGTAGCAGTAGAGGCGGTGGCAGGAGGTGGATCGGCAGGGGGAGCGGTAGTGGCATGTGCGGGTGGGCAGGCAGCGAGTGAGGATCGGAGTGCTTCGGCATGGCGAGAGTCTGAGAGCACACATAGGGACACCTCGTGTGTGGTCAAGCGCTCCTGCACACACACAGGCAGCAGCGGAGGGGAGGGGGGCATGCGGTGGGTTTCTGAGAAAAAGAAAGAAAGAAAGAAACCCTGCCTGAGAAGACAAAGAGAATACACCTGGTGTGTGGTTATGGGCTCCTCCACAGCAGCACAGGCAGCGGCAGAGGAACCCGCACAGGCAGCAGCACAGGGGAGGGAGACAAAAGGTTGGGAAACCTATGGATACCTATGGAAACAGAACGTCAGAGAGCACACATATGGATACCTTGGCTGTGGTAAAGATCGCCTGCACCCACACACGCAGTGGTGCAGGGCAGATGAGATGGGGGAGCGAGGGGTGTAGTGGGGAGGGAGAGAGGCGCAGAGAGGTGGAGAGTGGCGCAGTGGGGTTGGGGATGCACGTGAGGAAGATTTGAAACAGCTTAGGCAATCGATGCTGTGCCATCCCCATCCCATGACCCCCAATCCCATTCCCCATTCCATGACCACCAATCCCATCAACCAGCCCATGCCCCATCCCATCCCCAATCCCATGCCCCATCCCATCCCCAATCCCATGCCCCATTACATCCCCAACCCCATCCCCCAACCCATGCCCCCACCCCATGCCCCACCCCATGCCAGCCCCATCACATGCCCCCAGAGGACTCGCCTGGTAGAAGGAATACACGAGGGATAGGAGGCGCAGCGAGGAGAAGCCCGCAGGGGAGAAGTAGGAGCGGGCGGAGGGGGCAACCTCGGAGTACACGTCGAGAGGGAAGAGCAGCGTGAGGAATGCGTGCGGGTAGAGGAGCGCTGATAGCTGGCTGCGAGGGGGGACAGGAGGGCAATGGGAGGCAATGGGAGGCAAAGGGGGCAGGAGGGCAAAGGGGGCAGGAGGGAAAAGGGGGCAAGGAGGGGTAAGGAGGGTTTACAGGGGCGAGGAGGGGCAAAAAGGGGGAAGGAAGGGAGAGGATGTTCTTGGCACAAACGTGACGAATCACACAGACGGGGTTATGCATAGCTGGCTGAGAGAAGGTGGGTAGGGGGGAGAGGTGTGGAAGCAGGGGAGAGAGGGGGTTGGAGTTGGGAAGAGGATGCATGGCAAGTATGGGAGAGAGGAAAGGGTTTGAAGAGAAGAGGAGGGCATTGGGTTTTGAAAGTGTGCTAGTCGAAAGGGTGGAAAAGGCATGCCAATGGGAGGTGGATGGAACGGCGAGTATTTCATGTACAATTGAGACGAGAAAATGGAAGGGAGGGGAGAGAGAGAAAGGGATGGAAAGAGAGAGGAAGGAGGGAAAGAGAGAGGAAGGGATGGAAAGAGAGAGGAAGGGAAGCGAGAAGAGGAGGAGAAGTGAAGAGGGAGGAAGGGAGGCAAAAAGAGAAAGGAGGGAAAGGGAAGGGAAGGAAACATGAGAGGGAGTGGCAGCAAGATAAGAAGAGGAGAAGAGGCAGAGGAGGGAAGCAAGGGAGGGGTGAGAAAAGAAGTGCACCTGTGATGCATCCTGGTCCCAACAGAAGCACAACTTCCACCAGCACCGGCAGCACCGTCACTACCATGCCCTTCCCCCATCCCCACTTCATCCACACCTCCTGAAACCAGACTTCCCAGCATCCGAGCCTCGGTGGGAGGCTCGGACACACTCCAAGCCAGATCGTCCAGGAGGACTGAGGGAGCTGGAGGGCGGGGTAGCGAGCTGGCAGGCTGGAGAGGAGTGGGAGGGGGAGGAAAGGTGGGAGGGGGAGTTGGGGGAGGGGGAGATGGGGGAGTGGCAGGTGAGAAGGGGCAGGGGGAAGGGGAAGGTGGGGCAGGTGTGGAGAAGATCTATCCTTGACACGTGCGTGTTTCTGCTCCTTGGTTTGGGAAGGAGTAAGTAGGGCAGGTGTGGTGGGGAGGAGCAGGTGGGACAGGAGTGCAGGCTATGCACGCAATGCCATGCAAGTCACTTATGAGAACTCTCAGAAGTGCCATGCAAGTTGCAGCGGCAGCAGCAGCAGCGATGGCAGCAGCAACAGCAAGCACTTGAAGCAGCATAAGGCATTGAAGAACTCTCTCTCAGCACAAGCAGCACTCCAGCAGTGCAGTGCATACCTGTCGCTGTCCACCCCTGCGCGCCCGCACAAGCCCCTTGGCTTGCTCCATTGCCTCCACTCGCCTCTCCCAACGCACGCACCCCCACGCCCAGGGCATCTCAATGCCGCCGCTGCTGCCGCTCACCCTCTCCCTGCTGCTGCTGCCGCCGCCTCCGCTGCTGCAGCTGCAGGAGCAGGAAGAGGAGCAGGAGTGGGGGCAGGCGGCGGAGCAGCTGTAGCAGCAACTTGTGCAGCAGCAGAGATCGTGTATGTTGCTGCTCTCCCACCAGACCTCAGGCAGTGCACACTCTCTCACCTTGCACGACCCTGGTTTGGACTGCTGCCGAACCAAGTCCTGAGGCATGGAGGGCCGAGGTTCGGCAGGTAGCAGCTCGAGAGTATGCGGGTGAGAAGGCGGATGAGGAGGAGGGGAGCGAGTGAGGGCTGTGGCTGGCAACACAGTGACAGCAGGAGGAAAGGAAATGACAGGAGGGAGCTGTGAGGAGAGATGGGATGTTGGAGTGTGGAGCATGTCAGGGATGTCATTGCCAGCATGCACAAATGCAGCACCGGAATCAGCATGAGCAGCAGCCAGTAGCATCTCACCAGGCGAGATAGGCCCAGGCCCTGAGACATCACCCAATGCAATCACGTGTCGTAGATCCCCCCCATCGTCCAACCCACCTGATCCTTCATCTACCACCCTCTCTGTCTCTCGCACCACCTCGGCTGCTGCATATCCCGTCTCCTCTCTCCACTCATTAACACCCATCTCAACCGTATCCTGTGCCTCGCTAACCAGCCCAAGGCTCTCCAAGCCTGCTCCCGGAGGCTCGGAACCACTTCCGAGCCACTCGCTCTGAACCTGGCTGACTGCTTCGTCAAAAGGCACCTCTCTTTCTGCAAACTCCTGCAAGGAATCAGATCTCAGCCGATCCTGTGAGTCTCGCTGCTGTTTGTGATTCTCCCGAGCTTCGCGCTCCTTTTCCTTCCAAGTCAACCGAAGTGCTGCTGAGTCACCTTCTCTTGCGTCAACTTCTTCTGAGTCACGTTCTGATGAGTTTCGTTCTGCGTCACAGTCACATTCTGCTGAGTCACTGTCTCCTGCGTCAACTTCTGCTGAATTGCCTTCTGCTGCGTCAACACATTCTGCTGAATCACATTCTGCTGCGTCAGAAACTCTGGTCCGAGCTGTGGGAAGGCGTTGTGGCAAGTCATGCAGAGCGGTTACAACGGTCCTGCATGCTTCGCGGTCACGGCTGTCACGTGTGTCACGGGAGACCGAGACCAGATTGCCATAGGTGCCCAGCAGTGCACTTGCAGTGGCACTGCATGCTTCTGCATGACTGCAAGTCCTTTCCGCACAGCGAAGCACATGCGCCCCTCTCGCCTCCAACCCCCCATGGCCTGCTGAGGCCGCTTCTCGGCTGTCCAAACCTCCTGCTTCCACACCGCACCTCTCACTTCTGATCTCTTCATGCCTTGCTGCTCGTTGCATCATCTCCCTCCGCACTATCCCTTCCCCATCACACTCCACACACTCAGAATGTGGTCCCACTACTCCTCTCACCACTCCTACCCTTTCCCGCTCCCTTCCCTCTGTCTCCAATCCCACATCCTCCTCCCCAACCTCCTCCTCCTCATCCTCCTCTCCCTCCCCTTCCGCCCCTTTCCCAGACTCCTTCCATTCCACCCCACGTTCTATCCACTGCTCCCTTTCTAACAAACCAAAGCCCTGCCTCCCTTCTCCTCGCACTTCCTCTCCCACTTCCCCACCCTCTCCTCCCTCTCTTACTCCCCCACCACCTCTTCCTTCTCCCGCTCTCCCCTCTCTCTCCCCTCCCCCCGGCCCCCCTACAAGCGCAGGCAGCTGTTTGAAGCAGGGAAAGAAGATGTGCTCTGGCAGGCGAACTGGAGGGGGAGAGGGGGGGGGGGGGGACGCAGCACAGCGCAATGAGCAGGCAAAAAGTACTACGAGGCACATCAAAAGCGCCTCAAATGTGCTTTCTCTGGCAGCTGTTTGAAGCAGGGGAAGAAGATGTGCTCTGGCAGGCGAACTGGAGAGAGGGGAAGGGGGGGAGCACAGCACATGGAGTAGGCGGAGAGATCTTCTGAGGTGCTTCAAAAGTCTCCCTCCCCTTCCCCCCCACACCCCCTCCCTTCCCCCCAATCCTGTCCCTCACCAGTGCACGTACCGCCAGCAGCAATGGAGGCGGAGAGCCAGGGCAGGGAGACAAGGCGCACCATTCCCAAATTCTTCTCCCTCCCCCCCCCCCCCCCCCTCTCTCTTCTCTCCCTTTCCCCACTGCACTGCACGTACCGCCAGCAGCAATGGAGGCAGAGAGCCAGGGCAGGGAGACAAGGCGCACCATTCCCAAATTCTTCTCCCTCCCCCCCCCCCCCCCTCTCTCTTCTCTCCCTTTCCCCACTGCACTGCACGTACCGCCAGCAGCAATGGAGGCAGAGAGCCAGGGCAGGGAGACAAGGCGGAGGGGCAGGTGCGAGGCGTGGGCTAGAGCATAGGCCACCTTGGGACCCGATGGCGTGTGGTGGTGGTGATGGCGATGGTGATGGATAAGAGGGGCGAGGAGAGCGCAAGAGAAAGAACGGAAGAGAGACTCGGAGATGGAAGGGGAGGGAGAGACGCTAGATGGAGGGAAAGAGGGTGAGGGGAAAACGAGGGAAGGGGGTTGGTGTGGTTCATGCAGATGCAGAGGCATCCCACGCAACTAGGAGGAAACGGCAGGGGGCAGAGGGCAGGGGGTTCATGCAGATGCAGTTGGTCAGTTAAGGACATGCTATGGCGAGAAACGGAGAAAAATGCACAGTTGGGGCATTCTGGATAAGACAACATCACAAACAAACTGAGACAAGAATAACACTGGAAACCAGAAACATCCAACTCCATAAGATCGAAGCCCGGAGCAGAAAGGTCTGAAGAGTTAGAAGGGAGGAGCTGTGCACTCTAGGAGTAGGCAGGAGAGGGCACACGGGTACAGGTTGCTGTCAGGCGCACGTGCGGAGTGCAATACCCCCCTAAGGCGGTGGGATTGAGAAAGGGGCACGAAGGCGAGGAGCAAGGAGCGCAAGGGAACGAGGGGGAAGGGGGGGAGGGGGGAGGAGGGCGGGGAGAGGGGAGGAGGTCAGGGAAGGGGGAGGAGGGCGGGCAGGGGGGAGGAGGCCGGTTAGGGGAGGGGAGGGCGGGTAGGGGAGAGGAGGGGGGGTAGGGGGGAGGAGGGGGGGTAGGGGGGAGGAGGGGAGGGGAAGGGCGGGTAGGGAGGAGGAGGGCCGGGTAGGGGGTAGGAGGGCGGGGAGGGGGATATTGCGACGAGGAGGTGGGTGCAGTGCGGGGTGAGGTCGGCGCTGTACCGCCCCCCCAGGCGCCTGATCAGCTCCGCCAGCAGCGCGCGGTACACTGCACCGCGGGGGGAGGGGGAAAGGCGGGAGACGGAGAAAAGGGACGGGGGTTGGGGAGGGAACGGGGAGGAGAAAGAGGGGAAGGGGGAAGGGCGGGAAGGTTAGAAAGGAGGCTTTCGAATGGTGCGCCTCGGTCACCCTAAGCGAGATTGCGCGTGGAGAGTGCGGGAGAGTGTGCGGTGGGGTAGGAGGGATTGTGAGGGGAAGATAGGGGGGAAGTGATGAGCGCGATGAGGATTATTGCAAACCCCAGAAAGAGACGACCAGTGTAAAGTTACAGTGTGAACAGAGAACACCGGGAAAGCCTAAGAGTGGCACTAAGGAACTCGATAAATCGTCATCCGCGTTTCTGATGCGACCGCAACGGATTTCCGATTTGATTAGCTCGCACGTACCTTTTGGAACGCCTGTGACACAAACGGTCGTGCCGTTAAGGAGCGGCTGCTCGTCCAATTTTGACGACATGGTAGACGGGAGCAACGTCAGGCGGGAGCAACGTCAGGCGGTTCAGACATGCGAAAGATTGTTCAGTTATGCGAAAGTCACGCGTGGAAGACGAAAGAGGCGGCCTGTTGCCGAGTGCTCATGTTGCGTGTGTGTGTGTAGCATAGCATTGGGAAACGACCACACCCTTTGTTTTTGGCTTATAACATGTATACTAGGCCATTCCAGGTTTGTAACGGGTCATCGACAAATTCAATTGGTGTGTCGTCAACATTTCAACATGGGAAAATATGTAAGGAATTTTCCCGAATTCCTTATCGGGGTTGACTGCTTCGCGTACAACCCGATTTTCGGAGTTCGCACGTTCAGCCGATTTCAACGCTGCCGAGGCTCCTCGCGTCGCCTTAGGCATTTCCATCGCCAAACTTGCACCCAACCTCGTCTTCCGAGGTTTCCTCCTAGCTAGGCTAGCCCTACATTAGTCTGTGCATTCATTGTATTCCCAGTTCATTCAGTCACAGTCTCGTTATTCGTTTACCTGCGCACTCTCTTTTACAACTCATAACAAAATATGTCAATGGTAACTTACATGGGGCAGTATAACGCGTACGGTAACGATTTCAACGCGTTTGGTAACTCGCTTAACGCGTTTGGTAACTCGCTTAACACGTTTGGTACCTAACTCGTTTAACGCGTATGGTAACTATACACTAGCAGCCCATCACGCGAATGGTAATTAGAAGAAACCCTCGCCCAAAATGACCCTGATTATGGTTTTTCCCGCTCGCGTCAGACTAAATTGATGAATCTTGAAGCAGAAACCTCTGACACACTCTCCGAGATTTCGACACAGTTTCCCGAAATTCTGACACACTTCCCGAAATCCTGACACACTTTTCGATTTTCAAGCTAATTGCAAAAACATAAGTGTTGTAAAAACAACGTTTTATATACAGCCAGTGTCAGAATATTATTCTTATGTTCTAGCCTGTAGTGGGGTGCTCTATAGCGAGTACAACCCTTCTAGGGTTTGCTATTTGTATCCCCATTTCTGCTAGTTCATTCCTCTTTCTTTCTTCTAACTTTTGTCATGCTATCAGAGCAGGTCGATCCCCTTGGATCGATCCTGTGGGTGGGTTACCACCTCGCTTCCGCTGCTACTTCTTCCTCCCGCCGTGCGCCCCGAGGCGCGCGGCGGTTTTCTGCCCGCCGTGCGCCCCGAGGCGCGCGGCGGTTCTTTGCCCGCTGTGCGCCCCGAGGCGCGCGGCGGGCTTCTGCCCTACGTCGCGGCCCCGCCCTGCGTCGCGGCCCAGCCCCTCGAAGCGGCCCCGACCGTCGCGGCCCCGCCCCTCGACGCGGCCCCGCCCTACGTCGCGGCCCCGCCCTGCGTCGCGGCCCCGCCCCTCGAAGCGGCCCCGCCCTATGTCACGGCCCCCGCCCCGACCGTCGCGGCCCCGCCCCTCGACGCGGCCCCGCCCTACGTCGCGGCCCCGCCCTGCGTCGCGGCCCCGCCCCTCGAAGCGGCCCCGCTCTACGTCGCAGCCCCGCCCCTCGTCGCGGCCCCGCCCCGACCGTCGCGGTCCCGCCCCTTGTCGCGGCCCCGCCCTCCAACCAGGCCCGTGGTGGGCCCCTTTCACCACACCGCCCCCCCCCCCCCCCCCCCCCCCCCCCCCCCCCCCCCCCCTTCCCCCTGCCATTTCCCGTCGCCCGTCGCGGCTCCTTCGGGGGCCGCTGTGGGGTGGCGGGTATGGGGGTGGCCGGTGTGCCTTCCTCCCTTGCTCCTCCTCCTCCTTCGTCTCCCACGGCTGCAGCTGTCGCTGAGGGGGGTGGTTGTGTGGGAGACTGGGGTTTAGGGTTTAAGGGGGGTGCGTGGGAGTAGAGCTAGCGGTGTAGCAGTGGGTGTGTATCAGGGGGGTGGGACTGTTTGCGGGAGGTTGAGCGGAGGCTGCCGGCTTGTCGTCCGCAGCACCTGTAGTCCGGGGCGCTGTCCCGGTAGCCCAGTCGTAGCCAGCTGTGCCAGCCGCCCGTGGGTCCGTTGCCCGTCCGCCGCTATTTGAGCCGCGGGGCCTGTTACTCCTGTAGTCCGGGCGCTGTCCGGTAGCCGCTGTGCCAGTCTGCCTCCTGTTGCCCGTGTGTCTGCAGCTTCAGCCGTCGCCTCCTGTCTCCTCTCCCCTCACTGCCCGTTGTGACTACCACTAGCTTTGCTTATAATTGTGAACTCTAAACTATTTCTTCTTGAACTTGTGCTCAGAATGTGTGGTGACATTGTGATCCACCCTGAGCTTGTTTTGCTTTGCCTGCTCTGCTGATTACACCCCACTTTGGCTATGGGGGTGTGTCAGAATATTATTCTTATGTTCTAGCCTGTAGTGGGGTGCTCTATAGCGAGTACAACCCTTCTAGGGTTTGCTATTTGTATCCCCATTTCTGCTAGTTCATTCCTCTTTCTTTCTTCTAACTTTTGTCAGCCACGCCCTCAGAAGTCAGCGAAAAAAGGCTGATTAGGGGTAAAAAGGTTGTTATTTCTGTCAAATTATAATGTTGTCTAGGCTTTAGTGGGGTAGCCCATATGGGGTACACATTTCTAGGGTTGCATATTTGTATCACTTTCATTCCATAGTCATTTTCATTCTCGTTCTAATTTCCTCTTGGTATCGAGCAGGTTCCCCCGTGGGACCTGTGCCTAGGGCCCACCACATCGAGTTTTTTTTTCCTGCCCGAAGCGCGCTCAGCCCGAGTCGCGCTCCGGGCTCTCACTTCGTCGAGCCGCCCTAGCGGCCCCAACGCCCTAGCGGCCCCGCAGCCCTTCGCTGCGGCCCCGCCGCCCTTCCCTGCGGCTCCGCCGCCCTTCGTTGCGGCCCCGCAGCCGTTCACTGCGGCCCCGCATCCCTTCACTGCGGCCCCGCCGCCCTTCACTGCGGCCCCGCCGCCCGTCTCAGTGGCCCCGCCGCCCTTTGCTGCGGCCCCGCCGCCTCTCTCGCTGCGGCCCCGCCGCCCTTCTCAGCGGCCCCGCCGCCCTTCGCTGCGGCCCCGCCGCCCGTCTCAGCGGCCCCGCCGCCCTTCGCTGCGGCCCCGCCGCCTCACATTGCAGCCCTGCGGCCCTTCCCTGCGGCCCCGCCGCCTCACACTGAGGCCCTGCCGCCCTTTGCTGCAGCCCCGCCACCCGTCTCAGCGGCCCCGCCGCCCTTCGCTGCGGCCCCGCCGCCTCTCTCGCTGCGGCCCCGCCGCCCTTCTCAGCGGCCCCGCCGCCCTTCTCTGCGGCCCCGCCGCCTCTCTCACTGCGGCCCCGCCGCCCTTCTCAGCGGCCCCGCCGCCCTTCACGGCGGCCCCGCCGCCCTTCACTCCGGCCCCGCCGCCCCTCCCACTGCGGCCCCACCGCCCCTCCCACTGCGGCCCCGCCACCTACCTTGCGGCCCCGCCACCCTACCAGCGGCCCTACCGCCCTACACCGCCCGTGCCGCCCGAGCCGCCCGAGCCGCCCGAGCCGCCCGAGCCGCCTGAGCCGCTGAGGAGCCGAGCCGCCCGAGCAGTCCGAGCCGCCCGACCTGCCCGAGCCGCCCGACCCGCCCGACCCGCCCGAGCCGCCCGAGCCGCCTGAGGAGCCGAGCCGCTGGTGCCGCGGAGACGCAGTTGCTGCTGAGCCGTCCGAGCAGCCGTGTTGCCGTGTTGCTCTGCTACTGAGCTGCCCGAACCGCCCTGTCTGGTGAGAGCAGCGCTTCTGTGACTGCACTGCCCCTGTCCTACAGTTGGTACTGCTAGTCTACTGTTCTCATGGCTACCCCTAGTGTCCTCGCGTTTGACGCTGAGGGTCGAGCCATTGACTTTAAGGTCTTGGTCGACGACCTGCAGCTGTTCTTACAGTGCGATAGGGCAGACGGTCTCTCTCTCTTTGACCTCACCTCTGGCGCCTCTCCTGCCCCTGCTGCTGATGCTGACCCCACTGTTCGCTCCCAGTGGGCCACGCGCGATGCTGCTGCACGTCTTGCTGTGCGCCGCCACCTGCCTACCACTGAGCGCGCGCACTTTACCCAGTACAAGAGTGCTTAGACCTTGTACGACGCTGTAGTTGCGCGCTACTCTTCCCCTGCCACTGCTGCACTGAGCCGCCTCATGCTACCGTACCTCTGCCCTGACCTTGCTGCCTTTCCCACTGTCGCTGACCTCATTAAGCACCTCCGCACTAGTGACACTCGCTACCGCGCCGCGCTTCCTGCTGAGTTCTGCGCCAAGAACCCCCCCCCCCCCCCCCCCCCATGTACATCACTCTCTATTATATAGTCACCCGCCTCCCTGACTCCCTTCGTGTAGTCAGGGACCACTTCCTCTCGGTCTGTCCCACCACTCTCACTGTTGACCTCTTAGAGAAGGCCCTCCTAGCAGCGGAGAAGAGCATAGTCGCTGTAGGAGCCTCTCATGGTGACCCTCGCACCCCCATCTTTGAGGGGTGTTCTCCTTCCCCCCTTTTGCCCTCTGTCGCCTCTACCGCTGCGGCCGACCTCGTTGGTCTTGAGTCGGTCGGTGCGGCGTCTGCCCCTAGCGCGAGACGCCGCTCTGGCAAGGGCAAGGGCGGCAAGGGCGCAGGTGGAGCTAGCGGGGGCCCGACCCGGGCATTGGTACTTCTGCTCTAGGTGCCAGTGCGTCTGCTGTCAGATATATATGACATAGCTGTTGTAGGCTATAGTGGGGTAGCACATATGGGGTACAGCTCTCTAGGGTTTGCATTTGTACCAAACGTTCACTTAGTCATTCATTCCTGTTCTACTATTCTCACATGGTATAGAGCGGGTTCCCTGTGGGAACTTCGCCTAGGGCCCACCGAAGCGCGCCCCGAGGCGCGCTAACCTTTATTTTTTTCTCTCTCTCGAGCGACCCTCCGTGTCGCCCTTCCCTCGCGGCCCCGCCGCCCTTTCAGACGCGGCCTCGCCGCCCCTTTCAAACGCGGCCCCGCCGCCATTTCAGACGCGGCCCCGCCGCCCACTTCGGACGCGGCCCCGCCCGCCTCTTCAGACGCGGCCCCGCCG